TGGGGCTCACCAGGCTGTAGGCCGAAGTGTGCTGCTCCCTGCGCCAGTTGCAGTTCAAGTCTTCAATGTTACAGTCCTGCGTTCTGCTTCCTACTGTAAATTGTTGAAGTCCGCGCCAAAGGGCGGGGAGCCCCAAACCAGCCCGTTACCACGCCCTGATCGCGTTCTCTGAATTCCCTGGGGGGGCGTGGGACATGTAAAAATACGTGAGGGTCGCGCCCCCGAGGCCATAATCCTTATGTAAATTATGCAATACTCGCGTCCCCAAGGCCATAAACCGTTGTACAGTATACACGTTTGCTGCGTCCCCGAGGCAAGCAACCAGCGTAAGTTCCGCGATATTCGCGCCCCCGAAGCCGTAAACCTTTGCAAATGACGCCGTTGTCGCATTGCCGAGGCCAAGAGTGCTCCAAGGCGCCCGAAGATGCTTCCACGACGGCCCAAGAGGGCCCAAAGAGGCCCCCAGAGCGCTCCAAGAGGCCTCCCGAGAGAGCCCCAAGAGGCCCAGCTCGTAGATTTACGATGGTTTTTGATGGACGTTGGCCCACTCTTGGGCTTTCCGACGCTCCAAGACGGCTCAAGAAGCTCCCAAGACAGCCCCAAGACAGTCCAAGACTCCTCCAAGAGGGCCCCAAGACGGCGCAAGAGGGCTCCAAGATGGCTCAAGAAGCGCTGAAGACAGCCCCCCCGAAGAGGCCCAAATCATTGCTTCAAATGTTTTGGCATTTGCTTCTTTTCGGCCTACCGGCGGCCCGAGACGGCTCAAGAGCTCCCACAGATCGCCCCAAGATCGCCCAAGAGGCCTCCAAGATGGCCCAAGAACGGCCCAAGAGGCCCCCAAGACGGCCTCAAGAGGGCCCCAAGACGGCCCAAGAGGCCTCTAACACGCCCAAGAAAGCCAAAGCCGCAAGACGGCCCCAAGTCGGCCCAAAGCGGCCCCCCAAACGGCTTCCGGCGGCGTCAGACGGGCCAGGAGCCCACCAAGACGGGCCAAGATGGCCCTAAGATGGCCCAAGAGGCCTCCAAGAGACCTCCAGGGAGGCCCGAAGAGGCCCAAATCAGTGATTTTTCGCTGAGGTGTTTGAAGGATTTAGGCATGTGCTTCTCTTCGGCCTACCGACAGCCCGAGACGTCCCAAGAGCCCCCAAAGATCGCCCCAAGATCGCACAAGAGGGAGGCCTCCGAGAGGGCCCCAGAAGGGTCCATGAGGCCCCCAAGACAGGCCCAATAGGGCCCCAAGACGGCCCAAGAGGCCTCCAAGACGCCCAAGATGGCCTCTTAGACGGCCCTGGAGCACCCCAAGAGGGCCCCAAGTCGGCCCAGAGAGGCCCCAAGACGGCTTCCGACGGCGTCAGACGGGCCAGGAGCCCACCAAGACGGCCAAAGGGGCCCCTCCTCCTCCTCCTCCTCCACCTCCTCCTCTGCCTCCTCCTGATCTTCCCCGCCATCCTCCCCCAAGTGTTCCCCGAAGGGGTTCCACAACGCTCGGGGGAACACATGGTCCGATAGCTTGGCGGAGCTCTTGCCACAACGCTCGGCCACATGGGCGATTCTAGAAGGCAGGGGGCGGCGGTGATTCGCCGTACGCGTCTTCGATAACGCCAACGTCTCTATGTGCGCTGATGATTCCAATCCGCCCCCGCATGATGTTCCTAGATGCGCCAAGGCGCTGCCGACGCGACTCCGATATATCCCATTATGATAGAGAGGGGGCCGGCGGCAGAGGGCGAAGCCCTTACGGATAATATGAAGAAGTAGGGCGAGGACGGGAATCGACTTCGAGAAGGACGAACAGGAGCTGGCGGAGGAGGACGGGTACGATGAGCATTAGGGGCCGACGAGGACAACGAGGAACAAGGAAGCGGGCCCGAGGCTCCGCGCAGGACCGCGCCCTGCGACGTGGCCGAGCGATGCATGTGCAGAGGATGCGGCGATCCCGTGGGGGGGGGAAGGGGCGGGCCTTCCTCAAAAGGCTCGGAAGTCCTCTGGCCTTCTGAATAAGATTCTAAGCCTCCCCCGAAGACACAGAAAACTTCTCAGCCTTCCCCGAAAACACAGACACAGAACACTTGTCAGACGCCCCGCCGCCTTCTGAGGAGGCCCTCTCCTTGTCACTTCCCCTCGCTTGCCGCTCAAGCACCGGGTCGCAGGTCGGGTCGGACCTTCTCTCGTCGCACCGCTGCGCAGCGATCCCTCATCCGCACCTGCCGTCCGCGACGCGTCGCGGGCACGCCGCGGGCAGCCAGCGCGGGAGCCCGCCTGGACCTCCAGGGGCCCCAGTTCCGAGGAAAGTGTTTCTTTAGTTTGGAGAAAAGGCAGCGCGACCTACCCCTTCTCCTGCTCACCGAGGAGGAGGGTGCGGAGGTTTTCTTTGGTTTTTCTGTATCGTTTGGAGGAGGGGAAGCGCGACCTCCTCCTCCTCCTCCTCCTCCTCCTCCTCCTCCTCCTCCTCCTCGTCCTGCTCACCGAGGAGGAGGGGGAGGAGGGCGGCAGGGCGCAG